AAGTGAGTATATACCACATGTGTCTTTCTGCTTCTGGGATATCTCACTCAGGATGATCTTTTCCAGATCTCACCATTTGCCTGCAAATTTCATGATTTCCTTTTTGTAATTGCTAAGTAGTATTCCACTGTGTAAAGGTACCACAATTTCTGTATCCATTCCTTTGTTGAGGGGCATTTGGGTTGTTTCCAGGTTCTGGCAACTATAAATAAAGCTCCTACAAAACTGGTTGAGCAGATGTCCTTGTTGTGTACTTGTGCATATTTTGGGTATATTCCTAGGAGTGATATAACTGCATCTTGAGGAACCACTGTTCCTAATTATTTGAGAAAGTGCTAGATTGATTTCCAAAGTGGTTGTACAGTTTACATTCCCACCAGCAATGGAGGAGGGTTCCCCTTTCTCCACAACCTCTCCAGCATGTGTTGTCACTTGAGTTTTTCATCTTAGCCATTCTGATGTGTGTAAGATGAAATCTCGGGGTCGTTTTGATTTACAACTCCCTGATAACTAAGGATGTTGAACATTTCTTTAAGTGTTTCTCTGCCATTTGATATTCTGCTATTGAGAATCCTCTGTTTAGCTCTGTACCACATTTTTTAATGGGTTACTTGATGTGTACCTGTTTAACTTCTTTAGTTCCTTATATATGCTGGATATCAGCCCTCTGTCTGATAAGGAAAGCTCCTTTCCCAGTCTGTAGGCTGTCATTTTGTTTAGTGTCTTTTGCTTTACAGAAGCTTTTCAGTTTCATGAGGTCCCATTTATTGATTGTTGATCTTAGAACCTGTACTGTTGGTGTTTTGTTCAAGAAGTTGTCTCCTGTGCCAATGAGTTCAAGGATCTTCCCTACTTTTTCTTCTAATAGTATTCTTTTAAAAAGGCTTCTCTCTCTCTCTCTTTTTACATGTGTATTTTATATTTTGTTTTTTTATTAAATTTTTATTTTTTATATTACTGTTTATTAACTTTGTATCCCAACTGTAACCCCCTCCCTCATTCCCTTTCAATCTCATCTTCCCTTCCTCATCTCCTCCTATGCCCCTCGCCAAATCCACTGATATGGGAAGTCCGCCTCCCTTTCCATCTGACCCTAGCTTATCAGGTCTCATCAAGGCTGGCTGCATTGTCCTCCTCTGTGGCCTGACAAGGTTGCTTGCCCCTCAGGGGGGAGGTGATCAAAGATCCAGCCACTGAGTTCATTTCAGAGACAGTCCCTCTTCCCCTTACTAAGATACCCACTTGAATACTGAGCTGCCATGGGCTACATCTGAGCAGGGATTCTAGATTATCTCCATGCATGGTCCTTGGTTGGAGTATCAGTCTCAGAAAAGACCCCTGTGCACAATTTTTTTGGTTCTGTTGCTCTCTTTGTGGAGCTCCTGTCCCCTCCAGGTCTTACTATCTCTCCTTTCTTTCGTAAGATTCCCTGCACTCTGGCCAAAGTTTGGCTATGAGTCTCATCATCTGCTTTGATGCCCTGCTGGGTAGAGTCTTTCAGAGGCCCTCTGTGGTAGGCTCCTGTCCTTTTTCCTGTTTTAACCAGTAGTATGTTTGACCTCAGTTGTCATCTCCAGCCATAACTTTCACATATGATTATTTTTATTTTCACTGTCGAAACTCTGCATTAGCAAACATTTGAACATAGTTATGCCAAACGCACCCAAAATTAAAATAAATTTGTTGAAAACTATTTAGTTCTTCGTCTTTCTATATTATGTCTTTCTACTAACTTGCCATATACATATATCATAAATTTTACTTTGATCATTATTACTTTAATTGCAATCATTCAGGTATTGTTCACAGCCTAATACACTATATTTTCTTTCTTTTTACAATTTTTTGCTTACTTTTGAATGTTATTTATGTTTTTGTGTAGTTTTCTGTATATTTATCAGGATGTCATTACCTAAATCCGTGCTTTAATTTAAATTATCTAGTTCAACTTACATGACTGCTCTCTTGCATAGTCATGTAATTGCTATTGTACTGTTGTTTCTCTGGGCTGTTTATTTGGTTTGTGGTGGTGGTGGTAGTACCTGGGATTGAGCCTAGAGCCTATGTATGCTAAGCAAATTCTCTACCCCTGAGCTATCATCCCTTCAGTTCCTCTTTATTTTACCTTCTGAAATTGTTGCTGTTTTGGTGTCTTCTTCAGGTAAGTTCTTCCTTTCTGCACTGTTATCATATTGACAAATTTCTTTCATGGCTCTTATTTCCAGTCCCTTGATTTATCTCCTTATTTCCAATATAGCACATATTCCAGCAACTTCCAGAAAGTTTGTTTGTCTTTTAAATATTTTAATATTGTGAATCTCTGAAAAGATATGTATTCCACCATCTAACTTGCCTGATAATATTAAGTATTGAGTTATAGCTTGGAATTAAAATTTCCTAGGACTTCTGAAGAAGCAGTTCTGTTGTCTTCTAACTCTGAGAGCTAGTCTGATTCTGAAGCTTTATTTTTTTTAAGTCCTTCATTTTTTTTTCTCTCTATTGAAAATTTTAAGTTCTTTGGGAGAATACTTACATTTCAGATGATATGCTTTGATGTGAATCTGTTTTATCTACTGAACCTAATATTAATGAGTCAAGAAGTTCATTTCGTTCTGAGACTATGTTCTTAAATGAGCTTTCTGCTCATTTCTTTGCTTATGTTATCTCTGTTCCACTTTCCGGAAACATGCTTAATTGAATGTTTGGTTCCCTGAACTGATCTACATTTTTATTCTTTCCAAGTGTCTCTATATTTTTGTTAACTTTTCTGGATCTGCACTCTACTTCTTATTCCAAATGTTCTGTTGAACAGGAAACTTTTCCCCATAACTTTTATACTGCAAGAGCATGCTGTCATGTGACAGTCGTGTGTGTGTGTGTGTGTGTGTGTGTGTGTGTGTGTGTGTGTGTGTGT